ATTATATATCTTTAGTAAGTTGATACGTGCTCTATGATTAGTCAACTTAGCTGGCCTTACTTCATTGTATGGCCTGCTAAAATTCAAAATTCTGTTTGAATTGAGATCTTGCCCCTCTATCGAATTCTAAAGATGTAATAATATCTTATTAGCTTCATTTTATCGGTCCGTACTGTAAATTATGCGAATTTATTACCCGAGGGCCTTGCACTTGGGGCATAATCCCGAGCGGTAAAAAGCTCGGTCCGTGACTTACAGTACGGGCGTCTCACTTGGTTAGTAAGACGCATTTAGCTTTCGCCAAAGGTCCAATCTTTGTAAATGGCAATTTTAAACTTGACGGAAAATGTTTCCGCTGACATACTTTGTCAAAAAATTTGTCATCTCTCCATCTTCTGTGATCTGTAATTGTATCTCTTGGCCTAAAGAAGCTCTTGATTGTTCAACAGATTCTCCTTGTCAGCACCTTAGGAAATGTATAGAGTACAGTATGGAGAATAGTGAAATTGTCTGGTGTTGACTTTCATTGGCCTGGGTAGTTCTAATTTGGACATTCTTACGTTCTCTAAAACACATCTGTTCACGACGTTTCTTATAAAATCTTGCAGGAAATGTGGAGGTTGCGCAGCTGTTAAAACAACATAAGGCTGACTGGGATTTAGTGGACAGGACAGGTTCAACAGCTCTTCACTGGGCGGTCGACGGAGCCAATTTGGATATGATCCGCTGGATGCTTCAAGATGGCTGCCGAGTGGACGTCAAAGACGAAACGTCAGGTGATTCTGGAACTGTTGTAAAGCACGCAGGAAGCGGCTAGAGGGGGAAACGGTGTAGGAGGAAGAACGAGGCTTAGTCGAGATCGAGTGTTGTGACGTCTCTAGTGCTCAAGCCACTCCCTTAGATAACGAGGCAGATCTTGGAGAACATTTCATACGCAGCTAAAATTTGGGAAAGCTATTCTAAATCATTGCTTTGGTATACTCCCCTGATGAATTATAAAAAAAAAATTATTTCATCGTCGAATGCGTTTATTACAAAAATGTAGGTATAAAAATTTGTCGTGAGTGTTGGACAAAGAAAGAATCTGGGTCCTTACGAGGATCGAGCATCAGCTATTTCTATTTTCTTGGTAGGATGCTGTGCCAACTGATCATAAGTCACAGAGAAATCTTAATGAGCAATGCTATTTACGAAGTTCATGTTTGACAAGAGTTCTGTATGCAACAAGGATTATCAATGTCGCCAGCATCTTGTGGGAACAATAAGAATGATGGTTAATTCTGAGCTTGCCTACGAATACACCCCTAATGATAATACAAAGAAGTTGATTTAGGAACTTGTGGTACAAAGTGTGTGCGGTGAGGTTTCAATTATATAACCGTGGATTGCCAAATTTCGACGAACAATTCTCATTCGTAGGTAGAACGAACATCCACTGGCAAATTGCAGATTTTTCTCTGCTCGAGAATGTTTGTTTATGAGATAATTATATCGGAGATTTTTGTCTGTCTCTAATGCTTTGCAATAATTTTTCGTAGGCTGGACTCCTCTGATGAGAGTAGCAGCTGTGAGCGGTAATGTGAACGTTGCCAAGGTACTGATACATCATGGGGCCAAT